ACATACATACATACATACATACATACATACATACATACATACATACACACACATACATTCACGTTTCCTTGCGTATCCTATGCCACGTTTGTGGTGTGACTCCCCGTCACCGACGAATGTTTTTGTATGCTTTTGTCATGTTCGACTCGAACACATCATTTTTTGTGTGATCTTTGTAGCGTTTCCGAAGTTTTGCCGGGCCACTAGAGGTAAAATATGGTAAAGCCATGTGTGTGGGAATGTTGGATGTTGAACTGTGGGGTGGGCGATGGGTGAGGGGTCAATGACGTTGGTTTGGATTTGCCATACTCAGATGATGCCACATGTGCGTGCCCGAAAATACCAATGACATCTATGCGCATGAGAGGATTTAGTGAAGGCTAAATCAGCTTCAGAATTTCCGGTTCACAGAGGTGCGGGAAGAGGAATGTGAACGGCAGGTTTCCGCTATCTCTGCACCGGAACCCAGCAGATAGACCGAGACTATCAAAACGTGGTGGTTGAAACGCTTCGGATCCGCTGCAAATAAACAGAAAAATATCTTCTGTGAACAGACGGTTCTGGGGCCGCGTGTCTCAGTGGTTGTACTGCCATAGTCGCGCTTGAAACAAAACAGGGCAACCCTACCATGAATGTCATGGAAACATATTGAAGCAAAGTTTTGTAGTCCTTCCGTTAAAATACACTTTCAAAAAGGAACAACAGCACATTTTTTGGACTTAAACAACACATGTTGCAAACACACAGCTGTGTTGGGGGCGTTACTGTACCATGTTTGTGACATGATTCTTCGGAACATCCACCAACTCATAGACTGCAGGCCTTCCGCATCAGCCTTGCGTTTTCAGGAGTTCGACATGGCCTCCAACAGCTCTCTGGAAGCGGAGTTACAAGCGTTGCTTGGGGATGAAGGCGTTTGAGGCGAGAACAATAAATTTACTGTGGACAGATGATGATAGATGAAATGAATGGAACATCCAGCTATGGCTCAAAAACTGGAAGCCACGTTTCTTAAAGCAGGTATACTAGGTGATCAAAACAGTTTGCCTTGACATTGTTTGGAGAAAATACATGATGTCACTCTTGCTTTCAGAGAATCTTCAGAAAGACGATACATTTTGAGCCATACAGCTGAGGCACCCATACCACTCGTAGACCCAGGTATGTAAATTGACACCCCAGACTTCTTTTGCTCGGAAGCCACTTCAACTGTGAAGGCATGCTGGTGAAATGGCCAGACAGCCGGATTTGGCGTCCATTCCAACAATGAAACCTGCTTGTTCTTCAACACTTAGGTTCCCGATACCCTCTCCCAGAGCTGTGCATTCATGTTTTTGAGGGTCAACCCCGGCTCAAGACTGTATATTCAAAGCACTTGTGTGGGGCAGATGTTTGTACGTACATGTTGGCCACTGTGCCCTGGTATGCCAAGTGAACTCGACCTTTACCCGTGCATTTTGCACGGCCATTTTCAGCAACTTCACGGTGCCAAAGGCCAAGACAACCGTACCAAACTGAAAATCCCAAAACGACAATCACACTGTACTACTAGTATCCTTCATTTGCGGAGAAGCCGGCTTCCTTCCCCTGACAATGTTCGGGAAATTCGACCACAGCTGCGAGCTTTCAGCGGAATATCCGATCAAAGAAAAGGGTGCTAAGGTGAAGTATGCATCACGCTGTAGCCTAAAACATTCTTTGTTAAGTTTTCCATCAGGTGCAGAGTGCAGAACTTCTAGGTGAAGCTTCAGAACTTCCTTCTTATTCTTCCCCCACTGATACAAAGTCTAAGGGTGTTTGCAGATGCAGCGTGAAAGCGTTTGTTTATCATTGTCTATCCCCTTTTCAAGGTAAGGAATCGCTTCCTGAGATTTTGTGCCGGCTTGCATTGGTATTCACTTGTTCGCTGCCACGCAGAATTCTTGTCCACAACTCTCTAAGCACAGTCCTATGTCCAGAGTCTTAGCAAGGTGCACTCACTACCACTTAGTTATTATTTTGCTTTGGATATGAATTAACACCCCTTTCCAAGACCACGTTCAGAAACCTCAAAGTGAGGTACATCTTCGAACTGAGAATTGGGAAGCTGCTGATCAGGCCTGCAGGCGCAGTGGCCTTAGGAGAATGGGGAAGGTGGTATACTATTATATACACACACATATATATATATACACATATATATACACTGTATATAAATATGTATATATAAATATATTGCATTGTCATAGTGGGTCAACGTCTACATGTCATAATCCATTGTTGGTCAACCTCCAGACTCCAACAGTCCAGTGCTCATGAGTGTAGAAGTTCATAGAAGTTCCTTCGTTCTTGGAAAGCCCCAGCGACTGGATGGAGATCATCTCCAAACTGTTTCACCTGCTTATCTCCAGAACTTTTCAATGTTCGCGCCTTTGGTGTCTGACCGTCTTCCGCGTCCTTGCAGGCAATGCTTGAGTCTGAAGCCTCAATGCGATGATCTGCTCTTGGAAGTCTTGAGCCCAGCTGGCCCTGTCGGTTGAGGAGCGGTGCAGCAGTGCAGCATCACCGGTTGGTTTCTTGCTTGATTGCTTCACTTGCATTCGCATGGTGTGCTTGCGCAACTATGTGCAACTCATTCGTTGAATTTGTTTTACTGTGGTGTGGTGTGTGTGTGTGTGTTTGCATTCTGGGCAACATGTGTGTACATATACGGTATGTTTCTTTGTATGTGTATCATGGAATCATGCATGATGCAACTGTGTAAAGCTTTTAGATTCAGATTGTGTTGCCGAAGTGTGGCAATATGGTTGTGCTCAGGCAGGGGTTTGGCAAACTCTGGACACTTTCTCCATACATGGACATGCTGCTGCTTTGTTCAAGCAGCACGTGCCGCAATTAAGCATGCCAAGCTCAATCCCCAAGGCCCGGAACCTGTAGACTCTTGGTAGACTGCCAGACTGCACTCAACTGCCCTCGCGTTCAAATCAGCTTTGCCTTCGGCACGGAACCGACGCCCAGGTGGCCACCGAGTTCTATCGCAAGGATCGACAACTCTCCTTGGCCGAGGCCGAGCCAACCCACCAAGGAAGGTCAGGATGAATCACATAACAGGTCTGCAACCTAATAGCAATGGCCTCCACCCTCGTAGTGATGGCCTCCAACCTATTATCAATGGCCTCCACCCTAGTAGTGATGGCCTCCAACCTATTATCAATGGCCTCCACCCTAGTAGCGATGGCCTCCAACCTAATAGCGATGGCCTCCACCCTAGTAGCAATGTCCTCCAACCTAATAGTGATGGCCTCCAACCTAATAGCGAGGAATAATGAGGAATAACTTGTTTCATTTGCTGTGGTTTCGTTCTTCAAGCAAGTACATTGTAGGATGCTTTGACTTGGGATCGCAGATCAGAATCATGGGTTTATTTGGAGGTAGATTCTCTTGCAAGGTTCGTTTTTGTTAGACAGGATTGGATTGAACACCAGTTTGTGGGTGTCTTTTCTTCAAACCTGATGCTCGTGCTTCATGCAAGAGTCTAAGTCATAGCCCTCATTGCACAAGGATGGTTTGAGTGCCCCTGCTTGGATATTGTTGGTCAATGGTCACTACTTCGATATGATCCAATCAGTTTAGCCGTATGGGCCCTTATGGCAAATCTCCCACTTGATTTGGACAGATATGTACAAGCTCTTCATTTCCCAAAGCTCAACAATTCATGAATTGTTTGTCTAGTTTAGGTGGTGGACATACATGCCGGTTAAAGCAAATCTTTAGGCCAGCCTGGCAAGCATGCGATAATAATCGGGCTGCCGCCGGTTACCGCTGACCCGATTTATTTTGTGGCTTAGCTTCCGACTGCCAACGTTGATCCAATTTGTAGGCCAAAACACGAAGAGTGAACTCAATTCATGTGATTAGGGAGGCTTTGTAAAGCAGACTTTACGTCGCATTTGCACTGCGAGCCCTCACTTAGATCACCCTTTGGCAGTGCGAGTAGTGCTGCCAGCAGCTATGGAGCTAGAAAGGTTTCTTCGCAATGGACCCCAAAAGCTCCATATACTGCTCGCGTCCCAAAATGGGAGTTAGCCATCTATAGTTCAGACCGACGACCCTGTCCCCTACCTCCGATTTCACCATTTAGCTCAGTCCAAAAGACAACACAAACCGTCACCTTTGGAACCGACTCAAGCGATCAAAGGGTCTCCGGCCATGGACTCCTGCCAGCGTAATGGTTCCAGAGCACCGGGTCTTTGGCGCCTTTGTGGCGCTGACAGATTTTAGAGCCCTCTAAAGATATTGGGTTTCCGCCAGCTACAGAAGCATGTTGTGACCCGGTAAGTCTTGAAGTAGAGTCGCTCTCCCAACCGTTTAAGCTATATATGGATGTCTCTTGACTTGCACAAAGATTTGATTTCCAGATTCCCATGAGCCTCCTTGAAGCACGGCCGAATGTGACCACAGGCATGTACCCGAGTAGCCTTGGATGCCAAAGACACTGGACAGGCTGCTGTGCACGGGGCATTGATCTGGGGCTAGGTCAAAATCCACTGGAGGAAGGAGGAAGGAGGGGTTCAGCTTAACGCAGGAGAAAGTTGGTTGGAAGTATTGTTCTCTTCAATTGTAGGTTAGAATCTTACAGTGGTGGTGGTGCAAAGACATGATCTTCCATTGCGGGGTGGGTCTTGTAGGTTTGATTGTATACTTACTTGCAGTAGTTGTGAATCAGAGAAGCAGACATGCATTTTAAGACCCAGTCAGTATGACATTCGATCATTGTCACGATTACAAACCAGATTGTCAGAGCTGCTGTACTTTCCATTGACCTGAAATTGCATGCTGTGATGCTGAGTTGTTTTGTTGGCAGAAATCAGAAGATCCCGAGAGGTATTTCTGGATAGAATGGGCTGAGTAGTTCTCTCGAATATGGACAAACACGTTTTGACCCGAAATTGCTTCATGGCGGGAACAACCGAAATCACTGCAAAACGTCTCGAAACAAATCACTTCATAAATATATACAGACATATATATATATATATTTAACTATACAACAAACATATATATATATATACTGTTTGTTCTCTCGAACTTGCTTGTCATGCTTCGATTAGGGGCATGGTGTCTTGGCAGACGTCCTGGCGCAGATGGGCAAGGCTGGCCGCGAAGCCACCTTTGGGCGGCGCTAAGGGGGGTACGTTTAGACTAAGTGGAACTTCAAGGAAGCTCCCCTCGCCACCCTAAAGGCGGGGGGGGGGAGCTCCTTGAAGAATCGCTCGCACTAGTAGAAATGCCCTTGTTCCTAGTAGCTTCTTGTTCCTAGTAGTAAGGCCAGGAGCTACTAGTAGCGTCCTTGCTCCTAGTAGCGATGCCCTTTGTTGGTAGATTTTTAGGGAAACTTAGGTTTCACGTGTGTGCAGGAAATTTGGTCTGGACCTCGTTTGGATTCAAATCCTTCAGAGTTACCCTTGCCGAAACACACTTGGAACAACACTTCCCTGCCCCAGCTGCATGAGAGGCAGAGCCTGCGGTGCTGGAAGCACAGACCGCCTTGAAGATGCTGGTGGATCAGCCGGACCTTCGAAAGGCCAGTGGAAGATGTTCAGAATTGATCTAAAGACTTGGGATGAATACCAATGAGTCCTATAAGCATGTTTAAACCGTCCTAACCAAATGAGCTCGTCAGAGTTGACAAGGGATGCACTAGATAGGCGAAGACGCCTCTAATTATCCAGTCAACTCATGTGTGTTCTTCTGTGATTTTGCTGGTACTTCTCTTTCATGAGCTTTAAGAGGTCGGTCGAGCAACCCGGCAGGCTCCCTGCAGTGAAGTTACAAACTGTTAAGTGTGCTATCCAAACCCACTGGTAAAAGAACACATAAGGCCTGCAGCTTTTCGGGGCACACCAAGTACCACCATGCAATGCACTCAAACGGTCGTTGGATCAGTTGGATCTCTCACCCTCGTGGTCAACTTCCTTTTACTAGGAGCAA